CCTCAGGCGTCCTTCGCATGTTCCTCAGGCGTCCTTCGCATGTTCCTCAGGCGTCCTTTACATGTTCCTCAGGCGTCCTTTACATGTTCCTCAGGCGTCCTTCACATGTTCCTCAGGCGTCCTTTACATGTTCCTCAGGCGTCCTTCACATGTTCCTCAGGCGTCCTTCACATGTTCCTCAGGCGTCCTTTACATGTTCCTCAGGCGTCCTTTACATGTTCCTCAGGCATCCTTCACATGTTCCTCAGGCGTCCTTTGCATGTTCCTCGGGCGTCCTTTACATGTTCCTCGGGCGTCCTTCACATGTTCCTCAGGCATCCTTCACATGTTCCTCAGGCATCCTTCACATGTTCCTCAGGCGTCCTTCACATGTTCCTCAGGCGTCCTTTACATGTTCCTCAGGCGTCCTTCGCATGTTCCTCAGGTGTCCTTCACATGTTCCTCAGGCGTCCTTCACATGTTCCTCAGGCGTTCTTAGCTACATCTGCAGCGATAAACATGGGATCCTCTAGAGGTTGCATGCAGGATGTAGGTGCAGTAATTGCAGCCAGACTCTGGATGTTTGAGACATATTTCTGGTAAAGTGGGTCAGTGGTGGAACAGTGCTGTTAATGTGCAGCGTTTAGAGTGAAGCCAGCTTTAGAAGCTGAGGTAGAGATAAACAGATCCAGCTGTTTTACTACTTTCTTTCAGTATGATCGCCCTAAAGCCTTTTGTCCTGACAAAAACCAATCAGGGCCTCAGAGAAATGTGTTTGTCCAACTTTCTCCTGCTAGTTGCCTCTTTTGTGGGGGGGGGCGGGGGGTAACCCGATAGGGGCCATCATAAATCATTGCATAAGTGTTTCCAGATGATTACATCCTGCAGAAGAGAAAAACTAAAAGGGGAAAATTAGCAGATTTTTAGAATCACCAAGCAGTCAGGCTTACATCCTGTTGACATGAGCCAGGCAATGCTGCACAGCAACGTTTAACTTCAGTTTTATTTTTGCAAAAGTAAGCTTTCTGCAGTCGCTCAGAGTTAGGTCTAAGTCACAGTGGGGGAGGAGGCCAGCTGTAGGCCTCCTGGTTGCTTCGGAGACATTCAAGGCAGCCAGTTAGAGGCTGTGTCCCATGCAAGCAGTTTTTTAGTGGATGTTGGTCAGAGCGGCGCTGCATCTCCAAAGATCTTCTGTCTCCAGGACTACCGATAATAAAAAAAACATTTTCAAAGGCACAAGAAAAGTGCTTTTTCCTTCTAAAAACTCTGGGCAAAGTGGAAGGACACTAATCTCATCCTCAGTGGTTGCTACAAAGCAACGTAGCATTTCCTGCTATCCTTCTGGGGGTTTCTACTGTCTAATGAGGTCTAACCCTGATCATCCCTAAGCCTTACCCTACAGACATGTGAACACATGACATAGCACTTGTTTACCTGTTGGGGAACAGGTGAATCAGCATGGGTCTGGGAGAGTGACATAGAGCCGACTATTGTAGAGGAGAGGCCACTTAGCGGATGATGAGATCTAGATTTATCTAGATAGGCTAACAAATGTCATCTGAAATCTGTCAACATGCAGAGTAAATAATTTGCTGCAGGCAAAATCAAAAGGCTGCAGCCATTCCTGGTTGTCATTTTTAGTTTTCTCCTTATCGTTCTCTTTGTCGGGTCCGTCTGGCCCAGAGAGCTCTGCTGATGGCAGGGGTGGACCTAAGCTCCTTTACTTTCTGAAGAGCATAAACATCAGTCTCCACAGCAAGACAGGGGCTCCTCTACTATTCTGGATAGAACGTTCTCTCAGATCTAATCCAGGACCAGATATAATGGTCGACAACAAGAACTGACCCTGTATGTGACTGTTTGTTATCTGAGCACTGAACAGAACCTCAGACAGAAAGAGGATCCAACCAGGACTAATGCTGGAAAACGAGGGTCTGCAGCAAACTGACAGACCTTCAGTAGAAATCAGCCATTCACACCCATCCTGCTAACACCCCGCCTTCCTCACAGTGGGGCTGGAGGGGTTCAGACCATGGCAACGTTTGCTAACATCCACTGGATGAGCGCAGCAGTGCAGCAATGTTCCCTTGGAGGCAGAATGAAGGAGAGGAGAGATTGATGAGAATCGGCTTTGTGCTGTTGAATTATTGTCCTGACAGTATCACTGAAAGGCAGTGAAAAGACTTTGGACCTAGTTCACAGATTTTGGGTCACAGACAGAACCTCTGGCTGCCCATGCCTAACTGTGTTCAGGAACAGTGAAATATTTAGAGACATCAGCAGCCAAAGGGCCACAGATCCACACACTGATTATACAGCAGAGCAGGAGCAGCCGGCTGCGAGATAAACATCCAACCAGAGCCTTTGTTCTTTCACACTTTAATTAGACCTTAACTCCCACCAAAGAAACCACTCCAGAACAGTAGCAGAGCTGCAGAACGGCTCCGCCACACAATGAGCCGCTCTATAAACTTAACTGAACAGGCTGAAAATAGAGCAGTTCACCACATCAGACCTCCAGCATATCAGGCTGCTGAACAGTCTCCAACAGCAGCACCGCTTTGTTTTAACAGGGCTAACAAATGTGGGTTTTAGGTCCTGATGACATCAACTTCAGACACCGTGTGTGTTCCTCATACCTCCCAGAACCAGAACAGACCACATGGTAGCTCTAAGTCCCCGTCACCAGAGCCCTTCCATTCTATTCAGTTTATTTCTATAGCTCCAACTCACAGCATGTCATCTCAGGCCACTTTATAGAGACAATTCACCAGATCATCCAGTCAGACTGGTTGAAAGTTTTCTATCTAAGGAAAACCAGCTGATTGCATCGACTCATTGTCTCTTCAGCAATCCCTCACACTAAGCATGCTTGTAGCGACAGCGGAGAGGAAAAACTGCCTTTGAACAGGAAGAAACCAGAACGTTAGAGATTGAACTAACAGATTCTGCAAAGTGGGAGAATAGACATAGAATGAAACAGAATGATGAAAAAGGGGTCCCTATGTCCTCCAGCAGTCTAAGCCTATAGCAGCATAACTATAGAGATAGCTCAGGATAACCTGAGCCACCCTAACTAGAAGCTTTATCAAAAAGGAAAGTTTTATGCCTAGCCTTAAAAAAAGACAGGGTGTCTGCCTCACGGACTAAAACTGGTAGTTGGTTCCACAGGAGAGGAGCCTGAGAACTAAAAGATCTGCCTCCCATTCTACTTTTAGAAATTCTAGGAACCACTAGTAAACCTGCAGATTGAGAGCGAAGTGCTCTGTTAGGAACATAAGGAACAATCAGATCTCTGATATCAGATGGAGCTTGGCCATTTAAGGCTTTATATGTGAGAAGGAGGATTTTAAATTCTATTCTGGATTTAACAGGAAGCCAATGAAGAGAAGCCAGGATAGGAGAGATATGATCTCTCTTTTTCATTTTCATCAGAACTCTGGCTGCAGCATTTTGGATCAGCTGAAGGCTTTTAACTACAGTTTGTGGACTTCCTGATAGATAAGATTTAAACCAGTCTAGAGCTGTTCCTTTAATTCCAACAAAATATTCAAGTCTTTCTAAAAGAATATTATGATCAACTGGATCAAATGCAGCACTGAGATCCAACAGGACGAGCACAGATACAAGTCCATTATCTGAGGCCATGAGAATATCATTAGTGACTTTCACTAGAGCTGTTTCAGTGCTATGATGAGCTCTAAAGCCAGACTGAAACTCTTCAAAAGATTCATTATGGTGTAAGTGATCACACACTTGTTTGGCAACTACTTTCCCAAGGATTTTAGATAAGAAAGGAAGATTGGATATAGGTCTATAATTGACCAGGTCATCTGGGTCAAGAGACGGTTTCTTAAGGAAAGGTTTAATTCCAGCAACGTTAAAAGCCTTTGGTACATATCCCTGTAACAGAGATAGATTAATCACATCTAAAATGGAGGTGGAGATCAAAGGGAATACCTCCTTAAATAACCTGGTTGGAACTGGATCTAACATCCAAGTTGGAGGCTTAGATGAAGACAATAATTTTGCTAACTCTGAAAGTTCAACTGAATCAAAGCAGTCTAAACCCGTTTCAGATTCCATGACTACCTCAGATGCTGCCCCACCCTCCAGAGACAAACCAGTCGTAAATAGAGGAGTGCTAATGATCTTATTTTTAATAAAATTAATCTTATTTATAAAGAATCCCATAAAATCATTACTGCTAAGAGCAGGTGGAATGGACGGTTCAACAGAGCTATGGCTCTGGGTGAGTTGACATGAGATTAATTCCAGCTGGAAATTATCTTTCACTTTGGCTAAATTCACACTGCAGGCCTTGATGATCAATTCCGATTTTTTTCCGAAATCCGATTTTTTTTTTTGCTTTACCGTTCACATTTCCAAATATATGCTACTTGTATGTGATCTCCTGTGTGAACTGCAGTCATACAATGCAGGTGTCCTTCATGCACAGTAGAGGACGCAATGACGTCACAGGCCAGCGTGCTCTGTGTTTACGCAAGTAAACATGGATGGTAGCGCTGGAGCACATCTAGCGATCTTTTCCAACCATAAAACCTCAATCTTTTCAATATGGTTAAACATAAATGCTGCTGTCCGCATCATCATCATCTGCCATGGTTGTTGATTTTCTTGCCGCTTCTGCGTAGCAAGACGCAGAATAGTGACCTATGTCGGTTACTAATGGCGTTCAGGTCGGATGAATCCGACCTGGCCGTTCAGACACAGGTCACATTTGAAAAGATCAGATTCGTATCGGATTTAGGACCACATAGCCAAGTGGCCTGGGTCGCATTGGAAAAAATCGGATCTCTGTTGTTAGGCTGCAATGAAAAGATAAGATCCAAGTTGCATATGGGCCAAAAAATTGGTTTTGGGTCACTTCGGGCTGCAGTGTGAATGTAGCCTTTAACTTTGCCTCGGGGTCCAAACATATGTGAAGCTGTTTAGATAAACTTTTTCTTTTAGATGATTGTCATAAGATTGAAAAGGGTGAGGTGCTTTGGGTGTTTTACCGGTAGTCCAGGAGCTGTGACTCCAGCTGAAGGATGCGTCTCTGCAGCACTGGAACGTGACTGGCCTTTAGCTCCAGCTCCTTGACCTTGGCCATCCCAGTCAGCAGAGCCTGCCTGGCCTCCTCCACCCTGTTTTTCAGGCTCTCCTGTTCCTTCTTCAGAGCTTTGTTGCTCTTTTCTGAAGCAGCAATGGTCTCTTTACAGCTCCACAGCTCCTGTTCCAGTCTCTGGTTACAGAGCATGGTCTCCTGCACCTGCTGCTCCCTGGAGCTGCGCAGACATTCAATCTCATTAATGATGTTCTGCAAGCTCCTCAGGTTGATGTTGGAGCCATCACTCAGCTCAACATTGGCCGTATCAGTCTGGGCTGAAATCAAACATCCTTCTTCTGGTTTGCGTTGGGAGTGATACTTCCACAGTCCGACCTAAAGGGGGTCCACGGAGACGAGATTAGGTTAATCCTTTAACAAGGTTTGGAAAACTTGGTCAATTATAGACCTATATCAAATCTTCCTTTCTGATCTAAAATCTTGAGAAAGTAGTTGCCAAACAAGTTTGCGATCACTTCCACCATAATGAACTTTTTGAAGAGTTTCAGTCTGGCTTTAGAGCTCATCATAGCACTGAAACAGCTCTGGTGAAAGTCACTAATGATATTCTCATGGCCTCAGATAATGGACTTGTATCTGTGCTCGTCCTGTTGGATCTCAGTGCTGCATTTGATCCAGTTGATCAGAATATTCTTTTAGAAAGACTTGAATATTTTGTTGGAATTAAAGGAACAGCTCTAGACTGGTTTAAATCTGATCTATCTGATCGATTTCAGTTTGTTCACGTTAATGATAGATCTTCAACACGCTCAAAGGTTACCTGTGGAGTACCACAGGGATCAGTGCTAGGACCAATTATCTTTACTTTATACATGCTCCCAATCGGTAGAGCTATTAGACAGCATGGGATTAATTTCCACCGTTATGCTGATGATATCCAGCTATATCTGTCTATAATCCAGATGAAGCTAACCCATTGCATAAATTACAGGCATGTCTTGAAGACATAAAAACCTGGATGACTCTTAACTTTCTCCTTCTGAATGCAGACAAAACAGAAGTTATAGTCTTTGGACCAGAGTCTCTGAAAAAGAAGCTGATTAGCCAGTCACTTCATTTGGATGGGATTAAACTGATTTCAGATAATAAAGTAAAAAAATCTTGGTGTTATTTTTGATCAGGATCTGTCATTTAAATCCCAGATCAAAGAGGTTTCTAGAATTTCCTTCTTTCATCTGAGGAACATTGCAAAAATTAGAAATCTCTTGTCCAGGGGTGATGCTGAGAAACTAGTCCATGCATTTGTTACTTCAAGGCTGGACTATTGTAATTCTTTACTATCAGGAAGTCCACAAACTGTAGTTAAAAGCCTTCAGCTGATCCAAAATGCTGCAGCCAGAGTTCTGATGAAAATGAAAAAGAGAGATCATATCTCGCCTATCCTGGCTTCTCTTCATTGGCTTCCTGTTAAATCAAGAATAGAATTTAAAATCCTCCTTCTCACATATAAAGCCTTAAATGGCCAAGCTCCATCTGATATCAGAGATCTGATTGTTCCTGATGTTCCTAACAGAGCACTTCGCTCTCAATCTGCAGGTTTACTAGTGGTTCCTAGAATTTCTAAAAGTAGAATGGGAGGCAGATCTTTTAGTTATCAGGCTCCTCTCCTGTGGAACCAACTACCAGTTTTAATCCGTGAGGCAGACACCCTGTCTACTTTTAAGGCTAGGCTTAAAACTTTCCTTTTTGATAAAGCTTCTAGTTAGAGTGGCTCAGGTTATCCTGAGCTATCTCTATAGTTCTGCTGCTATAGGCTTAGACTGCTGGAGGACATAGGGACCCCTTTTTCATCATTCTGCTTCATTCTATCTCTATTCTCCCACTCTGCAGAATCTATTAGTTCAATCTCTAACGTCCTGCTCTCTCTGCTTTTTCTCATAGTAGCTTCATCTATGTCTGCTTCTGTCTCCTTGAACCCCAGTGGGCCTCAGCAGATGGCCGCTCACACTGAGCCTGGTTCTGCTGGAGGTTTCTTCCTGTTAAAAGGGAGTTTTTCCTCTCCACTGTCGCTACAAGCATGCCTGGTGTGAGGGATTGCTGAAGAGTCAATGAGTCGATGCAATCAGCTGGTTTTCCTTAGAAAACTTTGAATCAATCTAACTGGATGATCTGGTTGAACTGTAAAGTGCCTTGAGACGACATGTGTTGTTAATCGGAGCTATAGAAATAAACTGAATTGAACTTGAATTGAAAACATGCAGATCTGGTTTGCTTAGTTGGTAAAGCAATAAGTTAATGAAATGTTTTCCCCACTGAAAGGTTCAAATTCCTCTAAATAGTCATGGGGACGTCAATGCTTGTATGTAGATGGAGCTGGATAGACTGATGGGGTTACAGGAAGACTCTACCTCTCACCCAGGAACCTGGAGACGTGGTCACAGGACAACCAGGACCTGACAGAGGTCCACTGCACTCCCAGTAAAGGACTGCATGGGAAACGCTCTCAGAAACTGGTGAAAACCCAGCAGCCTGGTTATGAAACCAGGACTGGAGTTCCAAATGACAGCTTGAGTTCATTTAGTAACTTCTACAGCAGCAGACATTCAGATTGACTCACAACAAGTCATCTCCAGGTACCACAATTCATATCATCCACCCAGTTATTGACCAGGACGAGTCCAAATGGTCCAGATCAAATCATGAACTAGGGCTCGACTGCTGCGAATCATGAAGGAGGAAAAAAACTAATGATGCAAAGAATAGTTGGCCTGTTTTTTGTTTGATTCGAGGAATGTGACACATTTGCAAGATCATTACCTTAAAGGGGAACGCCGTTTTTTTACATTGGGCCCTTTATGGTACGCCAGCATTCATAACATGTAGGCCAATCACTGTCCCCCAGACATCCGCGGTTTTATTTTTTATATTTATATGTTTTAAAAACAAAGCGGAGTGTGTATGACATCATCCGCACGCGCCGGCTACCTGCTGCTAGTTTTCTTCACATGCCTGGAAGATTTCTAGTGCTGCTACCACAGATGATCTTCACCTTTAATAAATAACTTCTATTGGTAACAATAATTACATTTATTTAATCCAAATGAGTGGAATTACTTTATAAGTTAAAGAAATGAAGTTGGGCAGACCTTGTTCTGTTAAATTCTATTCATTTAATTCTATAGCTCCAATCTACATCCTGTCATCTCAGGTCCTTTTATAGATCCAGATCAAGCAGATCAGGTTAAACCAGCTGATTGCATCGATTCAGAATTCCCTCACACCTTTTTCTTTTTAGAGTGAGCGGCCCCAGCAGGGCCCATGTCCATCCGGACAGTTGTTTTTTCTCAGGTAACCCAGAGGAGAGTAAGGGGCCCCTAACCTGCAGGGCCAGGCAGCGGGCATCGCTGCTCTGCAGAGCGGCCCTCATGTCCTCCACCAGCTCCCTCAGACTCCGGTTCTCCTCCTCCAGTTTGCAGATGCGATCCTCCGCCTCCTCTAGGGCCACTATGTCCTCATAACACTCCCTGCTGCAGGGCCCGGGGGGCCCCAGTCTGCGGCCGGAAGCTGAGCGCTCCCCCCGGTTGCCCCCGACCGGCGGTTGAGTGTCTGTCCGCCTGACGGGGCTTCTGAGGCGGATCTGGGTCTCTATGTGCTCGCTGTCTCTGGCCACCAGCAGCCGGCCGGACTCGTACCGGCGACCCGCCTTGGTGCTGAAGTAGCCGCAAAGTTTGGCGTGGAAGAGCCTGAAGGGGAGCTGGCGGGGCAGCCGCTCCAGCAGCCCGGAACATTCCTCCGGGTCCGAGCTGTCGCTCAGCCCCAGGACTTGGCACAGGACGGTAAAGTCCTCTGCGGGGACCGTGCCGAGTCCCTGGTAGTCCAGGTGGTGGAAGATCTCCTGCAGGTACTGGTCCAGCCCGGTGGCCAGGACGATGATCTCGTTCTCCACCCCTCGGTCCAGGCCGTAGTGGTGAGCCAGGCTGCTCACGATCCACTGCGTCCTGCGCGCCGGGCGGCGGTACGGGTCCGACAACAGAGAGGAGTCCATGGTTTGGAGCCACAAACATGTCCGCGGGGCCCCTCGGTCCCTCCTGCTCTGCTGCAGCGGCTGGAGCAGAACAGGCTGAGAAACAGCTCCTCCCACAGACATGTTCCTCTCTGGCTCCGGGCCACTTCTACAGCAGACTGTTGAAAAACACCGTCATGGTTTCCCCCCTGGTCCGTTTATTCGAGTGCAGGTAACTTAACTGAGATGAAGTGTTATAAAAAGATCTGGAGAACGAAGCTTCGATTCGCCTTTGCAAAGGGAGAGTAGCATCAGCAGCAACATCTGGGAACAGCAACTCTGACCCCCCCAGAAACACCGGCTCTTTTAATTATCTTCATAGGGGAACATCTTACAGTTTCACACAGACAGTCCCACAATTCAATTCAATTCAGTTTATTTCTATAGCGCCAAATTCACTACACATGTCATCTCAAGGCACTTTACAGTTCAACCAGATCATACAGTCAAATTGATACAAAGTTTCAGAGGCGTGCACAGACATTTTGGGGGGCAGGTGCTCAGGAGGGGGGGCACTTTTTAGCATACGTGGAACACTTAATAATAAAAAAAAAAATACACACGCATGTTGAAAGAAATTTGACTTTTATCTGTAACATTCTCTAAACGTGAGTTTTCAATGGAAAAAAGTCACATCACCAACAGAACAGACTAAAGCGTACTACTTGCTCATCTTCCTTCTTCTTTCATCTGGCTCATCTCCCTGTTCTCCCTCATCCTGGTCTTTTTCTGTCTCTGTGTCTTACCTGAACTCTTCCTCATCTCCTGTCCTGGTAGATGTTTATGGTATAGAGCTTCCCTGCTGTAACTGGCTACAATATAATAATAATAACCATCATGACAATAATAATAATAATAATAATAGCTTTAACAAATATGCCACATTAGTTTAAATAATGGGCTATTAGGGCAACATGACTGGAAGTCTTGTCACGTGGATATGACTTATGGTAGCCTACAAAATAATAACTATTTTAATACCTGCTGATTTTGTACAATCCACTTAAAAATAAAATGTGAACAGCTTTTAAGATTTTTCAATACAATTAACCCTCCTTTCTTGGCATTGTACTGCAATTACTAAATCAATATACAATTAAGACAGTAAAGAGACCAAAATGTGTTAATTTATGTTGCCTAGCAAAACCTATACAACAGAAAACGTTTGTCTTAACACATAGATTTGCAATTGAAAACTCTACCGAAATTATTTGTAGCCTATGTGGTCCTCCTCATGTTATCTGTCATTGACTTGGGCTACAGTGTAAAACTTTATCTAGTTTAACTAGTTTATCAGGTGACCAGTCGGCAAAAATGCTTGTTTGGTGCTGCTGAATGAGACATTTTAATGCACAACAAAATGATTTTGCTTGATCTGTATATTACCTGGCTAATGGGGCACGGGAGAAGCAGCCTGTCAGCGACCGTTCCTGCTATCTGAAGACGCTTAGTGAACCGCTATGATGCTGCGCATCTGGCATGCCCTGCGGGCGACCGCGCGAGGTCACGTGACAGAGGAAGAGAGATAGGCTGGTCTGGTGTACGCAAGGAGGTGGCTCATTTTGGGGGATTGTTTCAGTCGTTTTTAATAGCTCAGGTTTTCAAAAGATCATTTCAAAACCGACCTCAGTAAAATCTTAATAATATTAATAATAAAAAAAAACGAGTTTCAAAAGGGCATTTTCGTTGATAAAGGGCAAACTTCCTAGTGCTTTAGCACCACCTGGTGTCTATGTATGCACGCCCCTGCAAAGTTTTCTATCTAAGGAAAACCAGTTGATTGCATTGACTCATTGACTCAAATACAATCCCTCACATTAAGCATGCTTGTAGCAACAGTGGAGAGGAAAAACTCCCTTTGAACAGGAAGAAACTTCCAGCAGAACCAGGCTCAGTGTGAGCGGCCATCTGCTGAGGCCCACTGGGGTTCAAGGAGACAGAAGCAGACATAGAAAAAGAAGCAGAGACACAAAATGCAGCTGTAAAAGGCGGCCCCGTCCAGGAAACCCACAGCCAGGCAGACGAGCTCCAAGGCAGCCCCATGCCAGAGGACGAAGAGAGCACATCCAGCCAGTCACGGTCAGAGAAACAGGACCACACTGGAAAACAGGCCGATCTCCAACATCTATAAACAAGGGTGTTGATGGCAGCAGCACAGCTGATGTTTCTTTCCAGGATGGCGTCACAGCCAAACAGGAACAGACGAGGCAAAGCTACTCTGAGGAAAAGCAGAGAGTGATCATACTCCCTACATTCCTACCTCCATGCATGGAGTTGCTTCCTGCCTTTCTGCTTCTACCTTGTTAATCAGCTTTTTCTGCGTGTGTGTGTAACCTCTTATCTGCAGATTTCATCCTCCCCTCTGGCAGCTTTGGCCTAACACCTGGGAATAGTAGATTTGCTGCCCATCCTTAGATTATACATGGCATATACTTCTTCAATATGAACAATAAGTTTTGCTGCAGCTTTAACTTAGCTGTTTACTTCTTTTAGCTTAAACATGTATATATATATTCAAGACCTGACCTCAGGTTCTGAAAGGAAGATGGACCTCAGGTTCTGACAAGAAGATGGACCTCAGGTTTTGACGGGCAACTGGACCTCAGGTTCTGACGGGAAGATGGACCTCAGGTTCTGACAGGAAGCAGGGTCTCAGGTTCTGACAGGAAGCTGGGTCTCAGGTTCTGAGGTTCTGACAGGAAGTAGGACCTCATGTTCTGACAGGAAGCTGGACCTCAGGTTCTGACAGGAAGTAGGACCTCATGTTCTGACAGGAAGTAGGACCTCATGTTCTGACAGGAAGCTGGACCTCAGGTTCTGACAGGAAGCTGGGTCTCAGGTTCTGACAGGAAGTAGGACCTCATGTTCTGACAGGAAGTAGGACCTCATGTTCTGACAGGAAGTAGGACCTCATGTTCTGACAGGAAGCTGGACCTCAGGTTCTGACAGGAAGTAGGACCTCATGTTCTGACAGGAAGTAGGACCTCAGGTTCTGACAGGAACCTGGGTCTCAAGTTCTGAGGTTCTGACAGGAAGCTGGGTCTCAGGTTCTGACAGGAAGTAGGACCTCATGTTCTGACAGGAAGCTGGGTCTCAGGTTCTGACAGGAAGTAGGACCTCATGTTCTGACAGGAAGTAGGACCTCATGTTCTGACAGGAAGTAGGACCTCATGTTCTGACAGGAAGCTGGGTCTCAGGTTCTGACAGGAAGTAGGACCTCATGTTCTGACAGGAAGTAGGACCTCATGTTCTGACAGGAACAAATGCCTGGAAACTGGAGAGAAAATATCACTCCACAGGCCTACGGGAATCCTACCTAGACTGGAAAAATACTTTACTGCTGTAAAGCAAGAGCAGCATATTTCTCCTCATTAGAGGAGAATAAGAATAATCCTACTGTAGATTTCTTTTTAATCCAGTTGCCAAACTCACCCAGAGCCATGGCTTAGTTGAACCTTCAATTCCATCTGCTCTTAGCAGGAATGATTGTGAAGTAAACATGAGCACTGAGACTCGACAGAAAGAAAAGGTTTTATTTTACTCTGCAGAGGAGAACGACACAAACAGCTGAATATAGCTCTCAGTGTGGCTCTGGGGTGGTAGCATCCCACCCCTGCATATAAAGAGACTCCACACGCATGAACATTGTTTCTTCAGTTCATCACAGACATCAATTTAGTCAGATAAATACTTCAGACAACTGATTCCCATCCGTACCAGAAACAGGACGTGAGAACCTTGAACACAGTGAGGACAGTCTCATCTAAACTAGGGAAACTTTCTTCTTCTCAGGCTTCTAAATAATCACCCTATTCAGGCAGAGAAAAGGCACCTTAAACATTTTATCTCACAAACAGGCCATCTGAGGTAGTCATGGAATCTGAACCGGATTTAGACTGCTTTGATCCAGTTAAACTTTCAGAGTTAGCAAAACTGTTGTCTTCATCTAAGCCTTCAACTTGTATGTTAGATCCAGTTCCAACCAGGTTATTTAAGGAGGTATTTATTCCCTTTGATCTCCTCCTCCATTTTAGATGTGATTAATCTATCTCTGTTACAGGGATATTTACCAAAGGCTTTTAACGTTGCTGGAATTAAACCTCTGCTTAAGAAACCGCGTCTTGACCCAGATGGTCAATTATAGACCTATATCCAATCTTCCTTCCTTTTCTAAAATTCTTGAGAAAGTAGTTGCCAAACAAGTTTCCGATCACTTCCACCATAATGAACTTTTTGAAGAGTTTCAGTCTGGCTTTAGAGCTCATCATAGCACTGAAACAGCTCTGGTGAAAGTCACTAATGATATTCTCATGGCCTCAGATAAAGGACTTGTATCTGTGCTCGTCCTGTTGGATCTCAGTGCTGCATTTGATCCAGTTGATAAGAATATTCTTTTAGAAAGACTTAGTCCAGTTTAGAAATCAATCTTACTGGATGATCTGGTGAACTGTAAAGTGCCTTGAGATGACGTGATGATGAGTTGTGAACTGGCGCTATAGAAATAAACTGAATTAACTGGACCCAGAACCAGAACTCCAACCATTTAACTGGACCCGGTGCAAGAAGCCCAACCTGACCCGAATATTTCAGGGTTTAATGTCTCTACTGGTGCCAAACGGGCCCAAAAAGCCCAGATGCAACAAAAAAAACAGAATCCTGTTAGTTCAAGGCAGAGATTTTATTTGAAAGGTTCTGATCCATTAAATAAAACACACTGATCATTCCATGAGCAGTAGGCTAATCAGCAGTCTAGTTTGTCCTTCTGGCAGAACCAGAACACATGGACGGATTACAGAAACGGACCAAAGGACCCATCCGGCCTGCTTTTAAAATGGTCCCGCTGCAAGTTTGGTGAAGGGCACTTGGGTTAGCATGCCTACAGAGCACTGGTGGTTCTGACCCGGTCAGAATTAGTAGGTTCTCTCCAGAGGATGAGAGCAGATGTAGGCCCGGTTCTCTAGAACTGCTGCAGCGATCTTCTTGATGCTGGCGTCGTTGTTCTCAGGAGCATCTGGAGGAAATACAGTCGAGTTTGTGATGAGACATTCGGACCCGTTTGGTTCTGTTCATTCATTCAACAGAAGACAGAGCTCTCTAAAGTGGGAGACGACGAT